AAATATTTTTGATAGTCTTGCAAAAAGGAAGAAGAAACCACTCCTCCCTGTTTACATGAGATATTTGCCATGATAAGATCTCTTTTATGATTTTCTAGTCTCCAATGTTTTTTTTCCATGGAGCAGAGGTCGGACACAAAATAAAAAGGAATAGAGGGCCTTTTCTTTCATTTGAAAGCTATAAAGGGAGCTTCAGCGAACGAAAACATCAAGATTTGGAGAATGTCCCAACATTTTTAATTTTCAGCTTATTGCTCAGACGAAATTTCGAAAAACAGGCTAAATCTCCATTATAGTGAGTTTATAGGTGTCCTGCAAGTGCTTTAGTGCTCTTATTACCTTTACCAAGTATTTGCCTTTGGTAATACTTTGTCCTGACCTGGGTGTCCCGCATTTTCAGCAATAATCAATGAGATTCGAATAAATCTGCCCTTCACTGTTTATAGTGCCACCCTCTCTCATTATCGTTCGGCATCGATGAATTTCATCATAGAGTATTATCAAGAGTACACAAATTCAAATAATTGGCTATAGGGTGAGACTTGTAGGCCATACTAATGATTACATCTTGTACTTTTAGTAAAAAGATGGATGATTTTCTAGGAAACCTAACAGCTGTTGAATGTAGTTCGAGATTCACTCTGTTTCTTGAATCACTTTATGAACAGTTTTTTTTTTCAAACTTATTAACACTTCTCCTAAACCTTTGTGTGGATTCTGCTACAGTAATCATCAGTCCGATAATTCCTTAATGCACAGTCATTCTGCCTTTTAAAAGGAAATACATATGCGTCTCTTTATCGATTGTAAAGGCAAAATTCTCAATTCCAAAATTTTCAGGGAAAATAAGTAGTCATTTTCATAATTATGCAGAATAACAAGCCATTTTTATTATTTGCGTTTCTAATAATTTTCCCAGCATTTTGAATAATTTTTTGAAGAAATGCTTCATAAAATTCTAATTACGGCTCGAAGCAAGTTTTCAGGACATTGACACAACTTTTTTCTGTGATTTTCGCAACTCTCATCAACAACAAAGTAAGAGAAATAAAGGTCTTGAGAAAACTTCATAAAGCATCTCTTTGTGAATAAATGATCTTCCAGCAAGTTATAATTTTGATGACAAAGATCTATTTTTTACTGCCTAGTAATCATGATCAAACAAGGTTTATTTGTTTACTGACTACCTTTGATAAGAGCGCTGTCGAAATTGTTCGTTTTTAGTTCCGAAAATTGAAATTTTCTTTGCATAAGCAAGGGAAGAAATTTCGTGAATAATTCCTATAAATGATCCTTTGAAATGGTTAAAAGTTTATTGATAAGCTCAATGATTAAATAATCAAAATTTTGGCAATACTTCAGTAGTGGATCTTTTTTTTTCGGAGATCACTTTAAAAGGTACATGCAAGTGGCAAAGGTTTGGATAGTCCCCGGTAGAAAAATCATTCAAATCTATGGAAAAAGCAGACCTTAGCAGCTCCGATATGAAAATTTCTAGGCGTAATATGTCGATTTTGGAAAGGAAAATAAACCTCGGAGCATCTTATTAAGCTAAACTATATACATTAGCTAGCTCTCATACTTGGAAATTGGCTATCTCATTATTATTTCAATCCTCCATCTCCTTCAATCTCACGTTTTTTCTTCTTCATGTCTAGAGAGTCGCCTTTGTTCTAAAAGTTCTTCTTTGCTACGTCACAAATTATTTGTCCTCTTCTACGCACATTCACCCGTCTTGTCCCATGTGTGAAGACAACACATTCTTGCTGGTGTTTCTCTTTACTCTTTTGTCAAAACATCCGCAATCCTTCCGGGAAAATGCTACACCACAGCTGCCGCAGTTTTTCCCTCTCTCTCTTCTCTCCGGCTTTCACTTTTGTTCTGGTAGGACACCTGCTCCACTCGTGATTTGTAAGCAAGTTCTTCGACAAGTGCACTGTTCTTAGGTGCCATGGACTAAGAAGAGTAATTTATGAAAATGACTTCTACTATTCAAATCATGTGAGAATACTCGTCACGCATAGGATGGACGATGTTTTTTTCTGCATGGGATTAACTCATCTCCAATGAAATCCCCAATCTCTTAGTTCACCTTACTCTTAATACCATTTCTAGACAAGTACCTATCGGACTCATTTTTCTTTGAAACCTCAGTGTCTCTCCCATT